TGTAATCGGTTCCCCCTTTCTACCCCACCCTCCCTCCATGAAGTCTACATATTTACCTATTAAAGAAACCACACTGGATGTCTACGTGGTGTGACCTCGAGCCTGGGTCAGCAGCCCCAGAAGCCGTGGCAGGGCGGTGACACGACACTCAGGCGGCCCGTGTGTGCGGCCTCGCGGCCAGGGCACCACTGCAGATCCCTCAGAGGCTCTTCCCTCAGCTCTGGGGAGGGTGTCTCCCCCCGTCCTCACCGGGCTCAGTGCAAATTTGTTTCCCCCACAGACTAGAAAGAGAGCGGGTCAGAGCTGTGTCGTGGAAGTGTGTCTCAGTTCAGTTCTTGGATTGTTGCTATTTCTGTTTTGATAATGCTCAGCACTTTTGCCGCCTCCCCCCACCACCCCCCCCCCCCCCAAAATGGATGTTTGAAATTGTCACAAAAAGAAAAAACATTGTTTGGAACTGGAAGCCATTTTATTGAAGGCCTTGCGCGGGATTTGAATGAGCTGTTAATTTAATGGGACATAAGTAATTGTGCCCGTCACAGCATCTCCAGCCTGAGAATGATGATAGAGAGGTGTAACGGGAAAAAAATCAATACAGATTTCAGTTCTGGGCTGGTTTTTATTTCTTAGGCTCTGGGAGTCATATCTTAGAACGTTACTTTCTCAGTAAGTGAGTGGTGCGTTCCTATTCCTAATAGATAGGGTTGGACATGTTTCTTCAACTGAAACGCCGACCTGTCTTCTTCTTGGGCTCACCCAATGTAGCTAGCAGTCAGTCCTTTCGGGATGGAATTATCGGTTCGCGCATGGTTTGGGAGGAATGTGCTGGGAAGGAACGGGAGGGGTATGAGCTGTGGCGCAGGGCTGACACTTGGGAATGGAGACAAGGAAGGTAAGAGGGTTGACTGCAGGCAGCTCTGAGAGGACTCTCCTGTGCTGGGTAGGAAAGGTCCCCTTCTTGTGTGCACCATAAGGGGTCCTAGGGGAGCAATGGGTTAAACATCGGGTGGCTAACCAGTAAGTTGATGGTTCAAGCCCGCCACTCACTGCTTTGAAGTAAAATGAGGTAGTCTTCCATAAAGATTGACAGCCTCTGAAGTCCCCTGGCACAGTTTACCTTGTCCAGGAGAGTCACCGTGAGTTGGAATCTACTGAAGACGGTGGGGGAGACCACCCTGCATACTGATGGCTGGCCACTCTGGTGGCAGCAGGCTGTGTGGAAGGTGAGGTTGGCCTAGAGATCCACGGTTTCCTCCTAAAGCCTTTCTAACCAGTTTTCTGAAAAGCGTGTTCTTCGTGAACTCCCTCGCCTTTATGTCTGACTGTATTTTTGGTGAATACACACATAAGAAAGCAAGTTTGCATCCAACAGTTTCTACATATCCTCAAAATAATCCTGTGGCATTGGCTACACTCTTCAGTTTCTATTAGTATTCTCAGTCTTTCCTTTCTAGTTGTCCCACTACTATTACTTCAGCCTCACTGTTCCCGCGAAGTTCTCATCTCCGCTGTGCTTCAGGGTTACTGTAATCTATTTGGATTCAAAGGGATGTTTTGTTTGTTTTTTAAGAGCACACTTCTCAAGGGTGAAATGCTTTACTTTTCTAGGCAACCTGCTGTTTGGTTAAAAGGTGGTTTCAAAGCATAGTTTCTGTTCAAGATTTAAAATTATCTCAGAGTCACAATATTGGGGATCTCTCCAAGTCTTAGTGGGTCTAATAAGTATAGATTCTTTGAGACTGCAAAATTTCATATGTTTACATCTCTCAAGATTGATCTATTGTGGTTGTGATCAAAATGTTTGATAATGGTAGCTGGGCACCATCTAGTTCTTCTGGTCTCAGGGTAAAGGAGGCTGTGATCTAAAGCACCTTGCTGCCGCCACCGCTGCCTCACTTTTTAAGTGGTTCTGACAGTGCTTGACTATCCCGTCTATATTGGCTGATCCAAGGCCAACACCATACCAGCCTAGAGTAGAGAACACAGCAGACATTGACCTTGCCCTCACTGTGTTTCCATGCTCTTGGGAGAGACCACAAGTTGCCATTAAACCTAAGGAGCGATGAGAGGTGGTCAAGGCCGGGAAGGGTGTGTCTAGTTTTAAGTGGAGACTACAGTTGACAAAGGCAACTGGTGGTGAGAGATCTGCATGTGATGACATTGTGCCGCTGCTGCTAGAGAGAGGTACACCCTACGTACCTCTTGGGACAAAAAGTACTGTTTCTCATGCATCTGTTCTTCTATTTAAATTGTGATTCCTGATACACTGAGAGCCAGGAAGAAATAGAAACAGAATAGGGAGAGGTGGTGAGAAAGGTGATTTCCCATTGATTCTGATCTCTCCG